GACTGCCCCGTTAACGGGATAATTTGAGTCCTGACAACATGTGGGAAATGTTCACTTAACAATTAAAAACAAAACATAAAACACTGCAACTCTTCTCTACAATCCTCTGTCCCCTTAGTCTCCACGGCTTACTCCCATCTGTCATGTCTTATGTTGTACTTATTCATTGTTTCTCTGTCTGCCTCTCCTCTGGAAGTCCCCCAAGGGCAGAGGTATTTATCTGTGCTTTTTTGAAAAAGAGATTTTATTTATTTATTTTTAGGGAGATGGGGAGGGAAGGAGAAAGAGAGGGAGAGAAACAATGATGTGAGAGAGAGAGAGATACATCCATTGGTTACCTCTCGCACGCCCCCAACTGAGCACTGGGCCTGCAACCCAGGCACGTGCCATGACCTGGATTCAAACCAGCGACCCTCCAATTCTCAGGCTGGTGCTCAATTCACTGAGCCACTCCAGACAGGGCTAAGGTGTTTATCTCTTTTGTTCCTAGGACAGTACCTGGCACATAAGAGGAGTCAATGAATATTTGCTGAATGAATGACCTACTGGCACTACTGAAGGTGTGGGGGAGATAGGAATCCTTCTCATCTGGACAAAAGTCTGCTGGTACTCGGTACTATAGGATCCAATCTATGTTTACAATGTAGCTTTGTGGTTGTTAACAGCCCATCCCCTTAGCTTTCTTTTCCCCCTTTACAAAATACTTTCTCCATCTTGGTCCTGGCATGAACTTCCATGTGGCTGGACATTGGACATGGCTGCCCACACTGGATCTTTTTTTTTTTTTAATAAATCCTTTTTTGGTGATGAAATAAATACCTAGTTGACTTCTGTTTGCGGTTGACACCCCAAATGGTCATTGTGTCATTGCTTGGGTAGTGGAAAGAACAAGGTGTGCTCCTCACTGGGGGACTGGGTCATTGACATGGTGTATGGAAAAGTGGTGCTGAAATAAGTCACAGATTCCCAGCTGGGCAGGGCCTGGGGAGTAGTCACACCCAGCACTTCTTTACTTCTCACTTCTTTAGTGAGAAGTTTTTTCAGGCAGTCCTCTCCATTGTTCTCGTGCATCCAAGTGAACCTGCCTTAGAAATGCCAGAAGTAACACCCCTGGAAGGCGTAACCACCCTCAAGAGAGCATGTAATCTTGTTAATTTTCCTGTAATCCGATGCCTGCCTTGCTTTCTCCTACTTTCTTGTAATCTTCCTTAGTTCCCTCCTTAATTTATTTTTTGCTTTTTGAGAGAGAGAGAGAAGAACAGAGAGAGAGGAACAGAGAGAGAGGGGAAACTATTGGCCTATTGTTCCGCGTCTTTATGCAATCATTGACTTACTCATACATGAGCTTGGACTGGAGATGAAACCCTCAACCTTGGTGGGGATGACACTCTAACCAACTGGGCTACCCGGCCAGGGTTTCACCCCTTCATTTCAAATGCATAAAAAGAGCTGTAAAACTGTTACTCCCCACAGCATTTGAGATCTTGCTCCCCAGCACATGTCATCACTTGGGCTCAAACAAACTCTTAACAAGAAAATTCTCTGACGGTTTAGACATTTCTGACAGTGACACCATGGACTGGTGCCCCTCAAACTTTAATATGCACTGAGTCGCTCTGGGGGTTTTGGCAAAGTGCAGATTCTGCTTTAGTTGGTCTGGGTTGGTGGGGGGGTCCAAGACTCAACTTCAAGTGTCAGGTGGTTACAAGTCTACTGTTTTGGAGACCATGCTATGAGAAGCAGGGGTAAGAAGACCAGAGAAGGGCTGTCCAAGAGGACTTCCCTCGATGATGGAGTTGTTTTATTTATTGGCACCATCCAATATGGCTGCCACCAGCCACACAGGTTTATCGAGCACCAACGGGTGGCCATGCAACCCAGGAATGGAAATGTCACATGTGTTGAATGCAGCCAATCTTAATTTCAAAATGACTGCAAGCGGCTAGTGGACCACACAGGTTGAGAAGACTGTGGCTGTTACAAACAATAAACTAGATGAGCAAACAGCAATGTGGATAGATTAACACTGTGCGTTGGGATGAGATCACTTTTTTAACATGGCCACCTGACTCCTCACCCACACTTGCTTTCCTTGGTACCTTATTTTATTAAATCTAAAATGCTGTTGAGGTAAGAAACACCCAAACCCGTTGGTGAGTTTGGTGAGAGTTGACGGGAGCCAGGCTGAAGACATTATGCCAGGGAACAAAATCGCAAATGCTCCGGAGAATGAAAGCTTTCGGGGTTCTTTCTCGCATTTGAAATTAAGGAAGGAACGAAGGAAGGTAACCTGGAGGTGGGGGACAACAAGGTGAGGATTGGATGGAGCGCTTTCTTGAGGGTTAATGCCACCCTTTGATGGGTATGACTTCTGGCATTTCAAAGATGGATGTGCTCACGTAGGTAAACAAGAACAATGGCCAGGGCCGGATCAAGACCTTTCACTAAAGAAGTCACATGCCTGGGACTTGACTACCCACCACGACCTGCCCAGTTAGGAGTCGATGATCAGACCACCCTGCGAGGTTACCTTCCATAGAGCCCCCCACCTCGCTTCTTTTTGGTCCGCAATGCTGTGGATTGTATTGGCACTATTATTTTGTATACCAGTAAGAAACAAAAAAGGGATATGGATTAAAGTGTGATGTAACGACAAATTGGTTGGAATATGCCTCCCACTTTTATTTTTCCAGACTTAAAAAATTATTTATTTATCTTCAGAGGGGAAGGGAAGGAGGGAGGGAGAGAAATATTAATGTATGGTTGCCTCTTGTGCACCCCCTGCTGGGAACTGGCCTGCAACCCCAGCATGTGCCCTGACTGGGAATCGAACCTCGATCCTTTGGTTCGCAGACTCGTGCTCAATCCACTGAGCCACACCAGTCAGGTGCTTCCCACTTTTAGAAACGTTAAAAATGTGAAAGAGCCCTGGCTCAGTGGCTCAGTTGGTTGGAGCACTGTCCTGTACATCAAAGGGTTGCAGGTTCGATCCCCGGTCAGGGAATGTACGGGAGGCAACTGATGAATATTTCTCTCTCACATCTCTCTCTTTCCCTTCCTTCTTCTCTCTCTAAAAAAAAAAATCAATGAAACATATCCTTAAGTGAGGATTAGAAAATAATAATAACAAAAAATAAATAAAAATGTGGAAGGAATGTGCATGAGAGAAGCAATAGAATATGGTACTCGATACTTAACCACTGAAGCTAGAAGTATGGGCTAGAAATCAGATTAGAGAATCTTTGAAGTATGTTTACTTAGCTTTAGAGAAGTCTGCAGGCTAAGAATTACAGCAAAGCTTTATCTTCATCTCACGGGGACCGGAAACTTCCCAAGTACACAGCTGCCTGTCTTCCCTTCCGGGGCCCCCCTCCCACCCCCACCCCAGAGCTTGTTGGGCTGCTGCCTATAAGTGCCACACTGTGCCTATTTCCCTGACAGCACAGCAGTAGACACTGGTGAAGCCACACTGTGTGCCACTCTGTTCCAACACTGCAGCATCCAAGCACAGAACTATGAGCAGGCTGTTCCCGGGCTGACCTGTCCCCTAGTGTGTCGGTAAGGGTGTAACAACAGCTCTTGGATCTGTGCTGTTGCCAATTTCTGTGGTGTAAATACTGCCACTGGGCTGATATCCACCTACCAATGCAAAGGCACTTGACACAGAATCAGAAGCCCACCATTACAGATGTAATGCGACAGACACAAATAACTTCAAAGCATGGATATCGATAAACATAATTAGGAACTGATGAATTTCTAGTGGACTTCCTTTTTTTCTTCTTTTGAATTTTTATACGTTTGCTTGAGCCTAATTAAAAACATGCTTAGTAGCAAGTTACTCTTGGGCTTTGTTTTTTAGTATACCTTGTTTAATTATAAGTTTATGTAATTTAATTTTTAATAATAGCTGTGTTTAGCAACCCGCTCTCAAAATTCCTGAAAATTTGCCAATAGGCTCTTCTGGGCTGGTGTGAATGAGCTGGCTGTAGCGCACACTGGGCCTGATGCCCAGCCCAAGTTTATTGACATTTTTACTCACCGGGGACTCTCTACTTCGCTTTTAAATTATGTTTATTGTTTCTTTTCTGTCACCTCCTGCTAGAATGTAAGCTCTGTGAGGAGAAGCAGCTCTACCTTCTAGAGCAATGCCTGTCGAGAGGCAAGTTCAAGTTTGCGATAAGTACACCAATGCCTGGTGCATTGCAGGTGCTCGATGAGATAGTTGTTGATGAATTAAAGTAAGAAGGGAAATGAAATTCGTAGCACGATGGATTCCTGTAAATTAGAGGCAAGGCTAGGCAACAAGGCATTGGCATCTGGGTGCACGGCGTCTGAGGCCATTCCTGCCAGAGCCTGTGGGGAGGGAGGAGGCCAGGGATGACAGGTGGAAATAAAACCAATATAACGATAGCAGGGCTCTGCCAGGACTTGAACTTCAGAGCGTGATTCACTCGAGTCTCTTCACCTGAGATCCGATTAGGAAGAAGAGGACTTCTGCATTTGCATAGGGTTTTCCAGGAAATGGTGCGTCTTTGCCCTCCCTGCCCGGGGCCTCAGCATGCTCCGCTGGCTGGCGGCACCCAGACAGGAGGCAGGGTCACACGGCAAAGCAGGGAGTTCTCCTTCTTCACACCAGACACAGTGGATGGGAGAGCGGGTTGGGAGCCCCATGCATTCCATTCAGCCAGTGTCATGCCCAGCTCCTAGCTGTGTGCTACCATGAGAGCTACTGTGCGCCTCTTTGTTGGACGAATGGAATGAACAGAAGGATGGAGTTTAGGGTGATTCGATTTTTATTATCACGTGTCTGGTTTTTAGAGGCGCTAAGTCTTCTTTGGAATTGTTGCCGGCGTGGTGCCTTCAGGCTCCTGCCTGCGTGCTGTGCTGGGTGGGGAGAGAACATCCGAGGGACTGCTCTGGAGGGTGGGGGGGTGGGCGGCAGGGGGGACCTCTGGGCCAGGGGTCAGGACCGGGATGTTGGGGGCTTGATATCCAGGGTCTGAGGGAGTGAGGGATAGGGGCCAGGGCCCCTGGGTCTCGAGTGGAGCGTGCAGGTCTGGGCAGCAAGCGGGCAGCGATGTCCTGTCGCACCGGCAGTCAGCCGCCCCTCATGGTTTTCTGGATCCAGCTGTAGTACTTGCAGAGGTTGGTGTAGACTCCGGGGTAGCCAGGCAGGGCGCAGCGCTCCATCCCCCAGGACACGAGGCCCTGGAGCTGCCCTTGGCACACCAGGGGTCCCCCAGAATCTCCCTGAGGGGGAGAAACCAATGGAGATGCCCACAGACAGAGTCAGAGATACATGCACGGAGAAGTCGAGAGAGATGGAGATCGGGAAGGACCAGGGCTGACACTAGGGGGCGTGGGAGAGGGAGCGGAGGGACTCTGAAGATATCAGCCCTGGGACTGGGGTTGCTGCCTTCCTTCTTCTTCCCTGGTTGCTGCTGTCTCTGGGTCTCACTGAGCCCCTCGTTGCCTTTGCCCTGACTCTACAAGACCGTGTGTGTCTCGTCATATGCCCCTGTCTCTGGGGTCATCTCCCAGGGGTGGACTGGGATGTCCAGAGGCCCTGAGCACAAATTTCCGGCTGTCCATATTTAATAGTGACCGTGACAGTGTGATCAGAGCTGTAGGCAGCCCCTGCTCTGAGCTCTTTCTGTGGACTATGTCGTCTAACTCCACCAACGGCTCCAAGAGGCGCCACCTCTGCTTGACAGATGAGGAGACTGAGGCACAGAAAGATTAGGCCCATTGCAAGAGCTTACAGCCTGGAGGGAACCTGGTTATTATCATCTCTCTCTAGGTCTTGGGGGACCTGCCCCTCTGATTCTCATGCTCCTGAGATGCTCTTGTACTGAGGTCCCAGCCCCAAGCCCTCCCGGGCCTCCAGCTCTCACCCTGGGCCTCACCTGACAAGAGTCCTTTCCGCCATTGGGGACCCCGGCACAGACCATGCCTGCCGTGATGGCTCCGGGATAGGCCTCCTTACACTGCTGGTCAGAGGCCGTCTCGATGTTCACGCACTGCAGAGCGTTGGGGTAGCTGGCTGGGGAGGCACTGAGGGGTCATGACTTGGGTCTACCCCCCAACAGGGCCCAGGAATATGGGGACCCACCTCCTCCCCCTTCAGACCCGGGACCCCAGCCCCCAGCCCCTCCCCCACCTTCAGGGCACAGGATTTCTCACCGATGGGGCTGGACGTGGTGCCCCAGCCGGACACGAGGCAGGAGGTGCCGGGGCTGGCGCAGCTCTGGGCCACAGTGATGGGCCTCACCTCCGGCCCCAGCTGTGCGGGATGACTCAGCTGCAGAAGCATGAGGTCGTTGTCATTGGTCCGATGGTTGTACTGGGGATGTGGCACCTGGCGTACCACACGCAGCACCTGCTCGGTGGCCTCCTTCCTCTTCAGGTTTTGCTTGCCCAGGGCAACCCGCAGGTTCCTGGCCCATGACCCCCCCCAAAAAGTGGCACTGCTCATGACATGGCCTGAAGACACCTCCCCACACGCCAGCCCCATTGGGTCTACACAGCCAACTCAGCTGTGGGCTGAGTGCCTGCTGGCATCCTGGGTCCTTTCCCATGGCCCGGGTAGCAGTTTCCCTTGGCCCAGTCCCACCGTCCTCCCCCTGCTCTCTTGAGCTGGACTCCTACGTCTGAGGGAGGAGAGGCTTCTGGCTTCTGGTTGGCATGTATGGTGATGGCTGACGGTTCTTGGCCAGTGCCAGGTTCTGTGCTCTGTGTTCTAAGTCAGGCCCTGGCTACGGCTCTAGGCTCTAAATTAGAATTGATATTCTGGCATAGGCTCCAGGCAGGGGCCATCCTGGTTCTAGCCTGGCTTCTGGGTTCTGGACATTTTGGACTTCAGAATCTAAGCTGGGATTGGAGTTCTAGATTGAGTTGGGACTGTGGCATGCTTTGCGGGTCCTGGTGTGAGCTTTCAGTTTTAGGGTAAGTTGAGGGTTTTGGTTTGAGCTCTGCATCATAGCTGGAATCTGGGTTCTAGGTATTGATTTCAGCTTTTAGTTTAGGGGTAGGGCGAAGATGTTATATTGACAAATGGATTAAGATGTGAGCCATGGGCCCTGGATGGTGTGGCTCAGTGGATTGAGGGGTGGACTGTGAAGCAAAGGGTCGCCGGTTCGATTCCCAGTCAGGGCACATGCCTGGGTTGTGGTCCCGGTCCCCAGTAGGGGGTGCATGAAAGGCAACCACACATTGGTGTTTCTCTCCTCTTTCTCTCTCCCTTCCCTCTCTCTAAACATAAATAAATAAAAATCTTAAAAAAAAAGATTAGAGTCATGGATTCTGGACAGTGATATGAGCTCCAGTTTCTAGGTTGAGTTCTGGGTTCTTGCTTAAATTCTGATCTATAATCTGAGCTTTAGGCCATGGTTTGGGCTTAGGGTTTTCAACACTGGTCTAAGTTCTTGACTCTAGAGTGGGCTATGTTTCGCAGTGAAATATAGTTGAGTTTGAGCTCTTGGTTCTAGATTCTGGACTGAGCCCTTGACCTCAGGTTGGGTTCTGGGTTCTAGATGGAGCCCTTGGATCCAAGTTTCCAGATGCTGCTTTGCCTTCTGGGCTTCTTCATATTCTAAGCTCTGGAATGAGTTCGGGGCTCTAGGTTCTAAACTTGAGCTTCAGTTTATGGCATTAGATGTGGTTTCTAGGCAGTATGATGAATATCCGGAGCCTGGTTTCTAGATTTAGGTCTAGAATCTTAGAGGGCTTATGTGCCCTACGTGGGGTTTCAAATTATGGCCGGCATTCTGAGATACAGACACTGGGTTCTAGGCTGCTCAAAAAGGAGGCATATACTAGACTCTGAACTCAATGTTGGACCTAGAAGGGGCTCCAGGTTCTGATTCTCTCCTACACGCTGAGCTGTATGATCCATCTATAAGTGGGGTTCTGGATTTATGGCTGGACTGTGGGGTCTGATCCAGACCCTGGATTCTAGGCAGTGTTCTGAGAGGGGGTCCTGGGTTTCTAAATGGAGATCTTGGCCACGGTTGGTGTGGCTCGGTGGATTGAGCACTGGCCTGTGAACTGAAGAGTCACCTGTTCGATTCCCAGTCAGGGCACATGCCCTAGCTGTGGGCCAAGTCCCCAGTAGGGGGCGCATGAGAGGCAACCACACATGGATGTTTCTCTCCCTCTCTTTTTCCCTCCCTTCCTCTCTGCCTATAAATAAATAAATAAATAAAGGAATAAATAAAGGAATAAATAAAGGAATAAATAAAGGAATAAATAAAGGAATAAATAAAGGAATAAATAAAGGAATAAATAAATAACTAAAAGAAGAGCTTGCTTCAAATTCAACCACCAATCTAGAATGGGCTCTCACTCTTAGTCTCTGTATGGATCCCAAGATGACATGTTAGGTTCTAGGTTCTGTGTGAGCCTCTGGGCTGATGAATGGGTTCTACCCTGTCCACCTGCTTTCAGAATCTGATGTGAGTTCCAGATTTATGGCAGGCTCTAGGCTCTTCTCCAGACTCCCCTGAACTGGGACCCAGCTACTACTTTGGGTTCTGGACCAGGGTCCACGCACGTTCTCAGCTGAGCCCTGGGGCTCCAGGTTGAAATTCCCTGGTCATGAGAATAGGGGAGGGCGTCACTCACCGGCGGGCGCAGTGAGCAGCGGTGATGACCCACCGGTCTGACAGCAGGGCCCCTCCGCAGAGGAAGCGACAGGTGACACCCACCAGCAGGGCTGCCTGCCACGGCTGGGAGTGTGGGATGCATGGGTAGCCACCAATTATCTTGTTGTCCCCTTGGCTCTGTGCCATGGCTAGGAACAGGCAGGGGTGGGGTGGGTGAGCAGGTGAATAAATGCCCTCTCCCCCCAGAAATCTAGGGTATCCAGGACCCAAACCCCCTCTTCTTGGCTTAACCTTTGAACCACCACATCTGTCTGCCACTCCAATGTGACAAAAGTCCAACGTGGCCCAACTGCCTCAACACAGTAGGGAGCATACTGAACGCCACCCCCTGACCTGATGCAGGGTCTTGCTATTCGTTCTGCCCTCGACTGCGTTCTACAACAGATACTTCCCATGAGTCCTTCTCTGACACACTCAAGGAGCTCCCTGCCCCTTCCCCAAATTTCCCACACACCCACTCTGTACGCACACCGCGCGCCCCTGCCATGAGCTCGCCACCCCACCACCACTGCCACCACTGTCCCCGGCAGCATGCCGTCTCTCCCTGTGCTGGTTCTTCCTGACGCAGGGCAGGCCAGGAGCACCCCGTGGCCCTGCTTTCTCTCCTGACCCATGAAACCTCCTGTTACAACCACAGGGCGGCACTTAAAGCTCCCCTCCAGCGTGTTCCTCAGCCTTGATTTCCAAACTCCACCCCCACTCCTATCGCCGTATCCCCCATGAGCATCCTGGGTCCCCAGGGCCCCTTGTCCCACTTTTCTCAGCATTTCCAGGGGACTTCACACCCCGGACCCCACTGCTATCTTACCTACAGCCAAGATCTGAAGTACGGCCAGCAGGAGGAACATTCCGGGTGCTGGGGGCTGGGTCCTGGCAAAGACAGAGAGGACGTGGAGGAGAAGGAGGCTGTGAGAGACCCAGAGGTTGAGGGACAGAGACAACGAGAGCCTCTCACACAGAGACCGAGACCCTGAGAGGCATGGATGCTGCACAGAGTCGAGGCCAGAGGGAGGGCCTGGGGTCCTTGGTGGCTGGAGGTGGGATGCTGAGCAGGGCTCACGTCCAGTCCGGCCTCGATGTCTTCCTGTGTGGAGGAAGTGGGGGGTGGTGCCTCACCTCCCTGTCACCCTGTGGAGGCCTTTTATCCCTGGTCTGGGCAGTTGGACCTGCCCCCCCCACCACACCCTTTTCCTGACATTTTTTTTAAATTGCTTAGTTCCCATTCCAAGACTCACTCCTACCATCTCCTCCCTCCCCTCTCTGGCCAGAGAAGCAGCCACAGTTATTAGTGAGAACCCGCTTGGCCAGTGGCAAATACGTTTTAATCTGGAAGGGATCCGGCGGGGGGGGGGTACCCCAGGGCAGGGTGGATGAAATGAGGGGGCTTAGGAGCAGGTGCTGGGAGAAGCTGAGAGAGAGCGTGACGAAGGCCGGAAATGTGAGGGAAGGTCACGTACATACGGAGAGACAAAGAAAAGCTGAGGAAAACAGGCCCAGAGCGATGCGTGAAAGGCCAGAGCTGAGAGTCCTGGGACAGGGGAGGCGGATGGATGGATAAAGGGAAGACCAGGCAGGAGGCCCAGAGAGAGAGATTCCTGGAGAGATGGATGAGAGAAAGCAGAGAACACAGGGAAGAAGGTGAAGACAGAAGAGAAAGAGGCACAAAGAAAGAGGAATAAGGGAAAGACAGAGAGAGAGGAAATGGAGGGGCCCCTTCTGCAGACGCACACCCGCGGAGTAATGGCCGTGGTGATGGAAGGAGGTGGAGAGGGGCCATCGAAGGAGAAGAGCAGGAAGGGAACAGGAGAGAGAGAGGGAGAGAGAGCAGGGGGAGCCAGCAGGAGCTGGACATGGTACTGGGCTGTCCTGTCTCCCACGCTGGCTCACTTTGTGGTCCTCACAGTCCCCAAAGGTGGGGCAGGCAGGGGAGGCTCAGTGCAGACCCGGAGAGCGGGACGCAGGGATGGAGTAAGACATGGAGACCCAGAGAGAGAGGCACAGGGTCCCAGAGAGAACCCGAGACACGGAGCAGTGACATGAGGAAGGGTCCCCAGAGACACCGGAGATGGAGCCCTGGGTTTGGGGGACACATGCAAACTTGGGGCCTGTCCCGAGTGCCTAGCCCCTCCCCCAGCCTCTTAAATTTCCTAATGACTGCAATTTGTCTCTGGGCCTGGGCGGCTCCTCCTTGGACCACCACGCGGTGACTCAGGAGGCCGCCTCTCCGTCCTGTCCCTCCCTCACCGGCCCAGGGCTGGCTCCCAGACCGCCTCCCGCCTCCCGCGGCCCGGGCTGCCAAGAGCTCGTCCCTGCCCCTGGGGACTCGCTCTGTGCCTCTGAATGCACGCGCCCGGCTGGCCCCTGCGCCCATCTGCGTCCCGTGAACGCGCCCCGCCGAGGGGCCTGGTTGCTTTGTACTGAAGGCCCTGGTGACTCCGAAGGGTGAGGGCGAGATGCCCTGTGATGCCCCTTTGTGAAGAAAGAATTCTCTGGGAACAGCTTGGTGGGAGGCCTGAGGGGACTGCTCTGCGATGAGGGGCCTCTTCTGTGTCTTACGCAGAGCGATGAACAGTGTTAACGTTACGTAGAAACACACGTGTACACACGCAGGGGCAGACGGATCAGGACGCGTGAGCTCTGGGCGCGGAGTAACGCCCGGAGTCTAGCGGGCAGCACCTGGTCCCCCCGGGAACTGCCTCGGTCTGAGGTCAGACCGCAGTTAACCCTGGCACCCCGCGGAGCTGGGCCACGGCCACACGGGAACTGTCTGCACTATTTGGGCAACTTCCTGTGAATCTATAGCTCTCCAGAATAAAGAGTCTCCTGGTAAACACCAGCCTCCCACCCTAGTTTGAGCAGAAAGCTTGGGTGTGATGGACCCTCTACGGAGCTCATTTCCAAGGTCTTCCTTGTGCTGAGAAGAACGCTCAGCGGAAGCTGTTGGCCGCAGGGAGCCCACGGGAGACCAGAAGGCTGGGGATGCAACCGCGTACTAGGCTCATAACGGCTTTATTGCTGCTCTTCCCGGCCTTAAACCCCCTCAGGGCTACTCCCAGGGTACCCTCCCCCGCAGACTAAACCCTGCTCTCCACTCCACCAGCTTACTCTGCATGTGCTAAGACATGAGTGCTCTGATGAATGAATGAATGAATGAATGAATGAACATACGGCACAGTCCTGGCCTTCAGGGAGCTCATGGTCTGGTGGGAAAGGCCAACAGGGCCTCTGGGACAGGGAGGGGCCATGTCCAAGGGCCTGACAGAGCCCCAGGAGTGGGAAGACCCCGGTGGTAAGCTGGGGCCTGCGGGTGAGTAGGAGCTCACGGTGGGGGAGAAGGGGGGCTAAATGTGGGAAGGAGGGGAGTGATTCTGAGTGAGTACAGACCTGCAGGAAGGAGGGTGGTGGCAGAGCTCAGGGTGCTGGAGGGGGAAGAGGAGGGAGAGGCAGAAGTCCAGGGTGACTGAGCAGGGGAGAGAGGGGCCCTTAGCATCCTCACTGCAGACCTAGGTCTGAGCTGCCTGGCTAGAGCCAGCAATGGGTGTTAGCTGTACCGAAGAAACAAGAGAGCAGAGCTCGGAGCTGCCTAAGGGGACTAGGTTGAGGGAGAAGACTAGGGACCCCAAGTAAGGCCCTCAGGGGGTGGAAAGAGGCTGCTGGGGTTGGGGGTGGGGTGGGGTGAGAGGCTGAAAGGGAGCCCTGGATGAGCTGGAAGGAAAAGTCAGGAGAGAGGTGTCAAGGAACTCGGAGGTGACTCTTTAAGGAGGAAGTGGCATGGGTGGAGGTCAAACAGAGCTGGGCCGTTCAAACGTTAAAAAAAAAAATTAATTTGCACCCTGGCCGGGTAGGTCAGTGGGTTAGTGTGTCATCCCCGTACACCAAAGTTGTGAGTTCGATCCCCGGTCAGGGCACATGCAAGAATCAACCTACGGTCCCTGGCTGGTGTAGCTCAGTGGATTGAGCGCGGGCCTGCGAACCAGACAATCGAGGTTCGAATCCCAGTCAGGGCACAGACCGGGGTTGCAGGCCGGTTCCCTGCAGGTCAGTTCCCAGCAGGGGACGCACAAAAGGCAACCATACATTGATGTTTCTCTCCCTCTCTCCTTCCCTTCCCCTCTAAAGATAAATAAATAAAATTAAAAAAAAAGAATCAACCTACGAATGCATGAATAACAAATTCATGCATTGTTAGGTGGAACAACAAGTGGATGTTTCTCTCTAAAATCGGTCCATAAAATGAAAAAAAAAGAAATTAATTTGTTTTTTTATTGTAAAATATTCATAACCCACATTTCCCATTTTAACCATTTTTTAGGTGTGCATTGCAGGGGTGTTAGGTGTATTCTCGCTGCTGGGTGGCCACCACCCAGCCCCCCAGTTTTCGGCTTCCCCAACGGAAACTCTGCACCCACTAAACAATTAAACACTAACTCTGCCTGGCAACGTCAGCTCTGTTTTCTGTCTCTATGAACTTAACTATTCTAGGCACCTCACATGGTTCATCCCTTTGTGTCTGGCTTCACTTTGCAAAATATCTTCAAGGTCTGTCCACCTCGTAGGCTGTGTCAGAATTCCCTTCTCTTTTATGGCGGAATCGCATTGGATATAGCACAGTTCGTTTATCCGGGTGAGTGCTTTGTCAGGGTTAGCTTCTGTCTTCCCTCCTCTCCCTTCCCTCCTTCCTCTCTCCCTTTCTCCTTCCCCCTCCTGCCTGCCTCCCTTCCACAAATATTTACTGAGTGCCTACCGTATACTGGTCATAGTTCTAGGCACTGGGGAGAGCGCAAGGAGCCAGGTAGACAGATATTCCTGCTCACTGGTGTTGCCATTCTCAAAGAGGGGGCTACCAGGACAGAGAAAGTTAGAGAAATGCAACAGGCATTCTCCCTCCCAGAGTGCATCCCTCATCTTCCTCCCTTGCTGTCTGTGCTTCCCTTCCTCCTAAGCCCCAAAGGCCCCTTCTTTTGCTTCTGTAACATGGTCCCTGAGCCCATGAATTCTACTGCTCACTCCTTCCATGACTTTCTAAATACTTATAGTTTGAAGAAAAAAAAGAAAGAAACACAATGTATAATAGAAGTTGAAAGTGCTATGAAAAATCATAAGAATTAGGGTAGGGAGATAGGGTTAGGGCAGCCCTGACCTGAAGTGACCTTTGAGCAGCAGCCTAAAGGTAGTTGGGGAATGAGCCACAGGGTTCTCTGGGGGAAGAGTGTCCCAGGCAGAGGGGGGAGGGAGGGCAGAGGTCCTGAGGTTGGGGGAAGTCTGGTGTATCTGGGGGCCAGAGGGGAGGCCAGCATCCCTGGGGCAGAAGGACATAACATCAGTGAAGTCCTGGGATGCTAGGTGCAGCCTCCATGAGATGCTAGGTGCTGTCTTGCCCCCATTTTACAGACTGAGAAACTGAGGCCGAGAGAGAGGAAGACACTTGTCCAAGGCTATCCGACTGGTCGGTGCAGGAGGATGAATGAACGGCAGGACCATCTGAACTTCTTTTCCACTCTCCGAATCTTCTATTGTCTTTGGAGGTGATTTGAGGAGCTCATTCCCTTTGAGCCCTGGTTTTCGTGTCCAGCATGGTTGTTTTCTGTTTTTGCTTTCGTGTTTGTGGCTTAAGATCCAGACGTTTATTTTCTCACAGTTATGGAGGCCAAGAGTCCAGGGTTAAGGTGTGAGCAGGTGCGGTTTCTCCTGAGGCCTCCCTCCCAGGCTTGTAGACGGCCATCTTTTCCTGGTCGTCACAGAGTGGTGGTCCCGCTGTGCGCCCCATTCCGTGTCTCTCTGTCCAGTGCTGTTTCAATGAGGGTTTTCTTTGGGTCAGTTAACCCACTGAACCCTTCCTTCCCATGGTCCCGTGAGAAAGGGACTCATCCTCAAGGCCCTGGGAGGAAGTGAAGCCACCTCCCCAGGTTACACAACCACCAAGTGGTGGCACCCCAATTCGAACCCCTGTGGAGAGCTAACAACCCCAGGGGTCAGATGCCAGAGAACAAAGGGGAAGATGGTGCAACCTCCCGA